TAGGACCGCTAGTGGACGGAATAAATGTGAAGAGTATTTAGTTCTTTTCATTGATCAATTATCTATTATCTCAACTCTTTCCGTTTTTGAATTGTAGGCGTACCAAATTTGTAGTAATTTTTTTCAATGAGAAAGTTGATTAAGAGAATCAATCAAAATCGCTTGCACCCCTGCTTCCAAGTTTGGTTACAAGATTACAACTCTGGAGAGCATTTTGTGTGGTCGTTGGGGGCTTGTGGTTCTGAATATGGACAAACAATCACAGATAAATTCTATTCCAACTCTTTACTGATGTAAGCTTGATGGCCCTGAAAAGGGCCGTTTTATTGAAGAGGACATCCATGGCCACTTACGCTTGGCGTGTTTAGTGTAGGTGACAGCATCACGGACCTCATTTTCCAGGAACACCTTCAGCACACCTCGTAGATCAGACCGGAGATACGTTTGACACCACCACGGCGAGCCAGACGACCGATGGCGGTTATCTCGAAGATCTTTGCGATGACGCTTGGCGCCTCCTTTACCAGACCAGTCAATTGTTGCTTGTTAGATGTGAAGGAGTGGACTAGCCACCACCTTCCTACTGCTGCTATTGCTGTTCACCACGCCGTCTGAAGTGAAAATGAGCTAATGCCATTTAGTTAATTTTTTTTTTTTTTTTTAATTAGTTAGTTTAAATGATCTTTATTTTAGTTTAACTTGGACGATTACCATATAAATTTTTACTAAGTGATTTAATTGCTTTCTTCATCTTTAGGTATGGGCAAAATTCAAAATTTGTTTTACAGAATTAGTCCTAGACTTAGTACACGGTCGACCACCTTGGTGGGATTGGTTTGTTTTGTTTTTAGAATTTGAAGAGAAACTACTTAATACTACTATTGACAGCTTAAAACTAACCTACTCTACTATATACACTTAACCTACTATGTACAAATTGCTTATTAAAGCATGTTCAGAAAGATTGCATTTTTGAATAAATTTAGTTGTCATATCATCAATTTTGGAATCTACTTTGGGAATTTCTGCCTCTTGATGGAGGTCTGCTATTCTTGTGTCGAATGGACGATCTAGGATCATCTTCAACACTCTATTCTGTGCAACCTGGATTTTGTTCCTGTGGGTCTGAGCGCACGATTCCCACACCGGGGCGGCATAGAAGATCGCGGGGGCTATGATCTGTTTGTAAACAGCCAGTTTGTTTTGCCTTGAGAGGCGGGATCTGCGGCAAATGAGCGGATACAAACACCTAACCAAGGCGGAGCACTTAACTAGGGTTTTCTCTATGTGCGAGCGGAACAGGAGCTTCTCATCGAACAACATCCCGAGATAAGTAACATCAGTGGACCACTCGACCCTTGTACCATCCATTATTACGGTACAGGAGGGAGACGGTTTAAGTTTTAATGATTGTCTGTGAAGGAACATGATCGCTTGGGTTTTCGAGGCGTTGATTTTGATTTTCCACGTGGTGGCATAATCAGTAAAGGTGTCAAGGCATCGTTGGAGCTTGTTCGTAATTTCACGAGGCATCCTACCCTTGACGGCTATCGCGGTGTCATCTGCAAACAGAAAGAACACGCAACCGTCTCCTAGAGGAGGGATGTCCGACGTGTAGATGCTGTAAAGCAGTGGTCCCAGCAGACTCCCTTGCGGAACACCTGCTGGGATCGGAAATTGTCCCGAAAGGGAACTATTCAACGACACCCTGAACGACCTTTGCTGGAGATAGTTACGGGTGATTTTCACAAGGTATGGTGGAAAGTTGGAGTTACAAAGCTTGTATATAAGTCCGTCGTGCCAGACATTGTCAAACGCCTTTTCGACGTCTAACAAGGCCATGGCTGTGGACTTGGATACAGCTTTGTTACTCCGGATGTTATTCATCACCCGCACTAGCTGATGATTGGTGGAATGCCCCTTACGGAAGCCGAACTGTTCCGGAAGAAGAATGTCATGTTCCTCCACAAACTTGTTTAGTCGGCTGAGGATCAATTTTTCGAACAGCTTGCTCAGCGCTGAGAGCAGGCTAATCGGTCTGTAGCTTGACGGTAGTGAAGGGTCTTTCCCAGGTTTGCGGATCGGGATGATTTTTGCCACCTTCCAGATGCTTGAAAAGTAGTGCAGCTCCAAGCATCTGTTGAGGATGGCAGCCAGCAGCGAGTGCACCCTCGCGCTGAGATTTTTCAACTCTAGGTTGAATATTCCGTCAAACCCGGGAGCCTTCATGTTCGTACTGTGTTTCAGCGCTGAGCAAATTTGTTCCTCTGTAATCCGTTCTTCTGGAGGGACGGCACAAGGAGAGGCATCTAACGTCTGGACGCACTGCACAACCTGGTTCTCGAGTGGACTTGGGATTGTAGAGCCAAGCAAATGCGACTGGGCAATGTGCTCCCCAATTGCATTGGCCTTCTCTTCGTTGGTGATAAGCCGTTCGTCATTGACTCTAAGTGGTGGAATGGGCTTGGGGTGAGACTTCAGCACCTTGGCAACCTTCCAGAATGGTCTGGAACGGTCGTCCAGGTTCTGAACGAGCCGCCCGAAACTCTCGTTCCGGATTGAGACCATTCTGGAAGCGATCTGCCGATTCAGATCGACCATTTCGTATTTACGCTGCAGATCCCCAGTCCGCTGAAACTGGCGTCTACGAACATTTCTGAGCCGAATCAAGAGTTTGGTGTGGGAATCAATTGCTTGAAACTTACCCCTCACAGGAACTCGTCGAACGCACTCTTCGTCAGCCACGGATATGGCTTGATGGAGACCCTCCAGGGCCCGGTCGATGTCATCCACTGTGTCGAGCGGTGGGTTATCGTCGATGTGGCGGTCGACCACGCGTCGAAACTGGACCCAGTTGACTCGATGGTAGTCCTTCCGCTGGCACGGTGCAGGGGCCACGTTGTAGCCCAGCTCGGTCAGCACCGGTTGGTGGTCCGAACTCAGGTCGTTGACGGCAACCGGCTTGGCTAATCTGGTGTTTGCCAAGAACAGGTCCAGCGTCGATGGGTTGCCCGTCGGTGATGTGAAGGTTGGTTCGTCCGGAAACCAGACGGAATAGAGACCATGCTGGGAATGGTCGAATAGCAGGCGACCGTTCTGGTTCTGCTGGTAGTTCCGCCAGGCCTCGTGCCGGGCGTTCAGGTCCCCTCCGATTACAAAGCGGGCATTGGTGTGGGTTATGATGGCAAGGTCGTTCTTGAACTGCTGTGCTGTACCATTGCTAACGGTACATTGCCGGGGGCAGTAGACAACGATGAACCGGACGTTTCCGGTCGATGTTTCCACCTCAACGCCGACGGCCTCGATGATGGAAGTGCGGTAGTGGGGTAGGGTGCAGTACTTGATGCCTTTCTTGATGATGACCGCGACACCGCCCCCCCTGGAGCTGGTGCGATCAAGCCGGACAATGCTGTGGTCGGGCAGCCAGAAGCTGTCACCGGTCTTGAGGTGGGTCTCGGTGAGAAGGCCCACGTCGATGTCGTGCTTGCGGAGGAAGTCTGCAAGCTCAATGTTTTTCGCCCCTACGGAGCGAGCGTTCCAGTTGGCGATCTTTATGGGTTCACGGTCCATAATTAGCGACGAAGGAGATGATAGCTTGGAGCTGTTGTGTTCTTGTTGCGCAGGTGCGCTTGATGATGATGGCCTGGGCCAACAGTGTGACGATCTCATCCGTTGACAGCGGAGAATCGTCTGTAGCTTCACCGGTTGTACCGGCCAATCCCGGAGCAGGGGGATCCGTCGATGGCCCGGAGGCTTGACCGGGTACTGCAGCGGCAGCCAACTGGGCAGCAGCCAACTGTTGGTTGAGCGGGAGCGGCGGCAACACTGGAATTGGCCGTGATTGGACCGGTGATAACGGAGGAAAGTTCTGCGCGTTGTTTTCTGGAACCTTCTTGCGACCGGGCTGGCTGTTGGACGAGGCCTTCTTCCGGATCTCGGCGTATTCGGCCCGCTTCGGACAGGCCTTACTCGTGGCCTTGTGGGCGGCACCGCAGTTGGCGCATGTGGGAGTGGCTTCCTCGATGCTGTCGCAGTTGTCGATCTTGTGGTTTTTGCCGCATTTGATGCAGCGGCTGGCCATGCGGCAATTCCTGGTGCCGTGCCCGAACAATAGGCAGTTCGAGCACTGAGTGACGCCACGGTGGGTCGGCTTATACCGCTCCCACTTCACTACGATGTGGAACAGTGTGCGTGTCGTCTGGAGATCCTTCACGGTTGTGGAGTTCTTCTCCAGATGGACCAGGTAGAGCTGGTCACGATACTTGATGGCCTTGCTGCGGGTCATCTTGTGGACTTCGACCGGCTTGAGGTCGTTCGCCTTAATCGCGTCCATTAAGGTGGTGGTGTCCATGTCGTGGAGCCCGCGCAGCACCACTTTCAGCGGCTTGGTGGCCTCGATGTCGTGGGAGAAGTACTCCAGCTTCATCCTGTCCAAGAGGGCCTGAACTGCGTTGAAGTGTTTTTCGGCCGGGACCATCAGTTTGTAGCCTTCCGTGCACCGTTGAATGGTGCAGCGAAGGCCCTGCTTAATGTAGAAATCCAGCTGCTCCCATAGCCCGGGAGGGAAGCCCTTCACATAGAAGGGTGGCAACTTAACTTTTTTCGGCACCGTCTCAGGGTCCGACTGCGGCTGGGCTCCGTTCTGCAGGGCCGAGAACGGATTGATGCTCAGCAGCTTTTTTGCTGCTGATGCGGTGGCGCTGCTGTCTTCAGGTCTGGGTCGTTTAGTTCCGGGAGGCCCCGGCTGCGGGTCCGCATTGCCTGTCGGGATGGGCAATGGGGTTTTCTTCTGCTTCTTCTGGGCTGGCTCGGTGGTCGCGCCGTCTCCTGGGAGAGTCTGTTTTCCCGGTAAACCAGCACTCGCGTTACCGCGCGATTTCTTACCCATGGCTGGGTCAGCGAGAGCGTCACTACACAACGCGGAGCTAATTCGACTTGCGAACGAACGAACGAAACTAGAGAGAATTCAAATCGACTGAACTGCTCAACAGTCTGGCAGCGAATGAGCGCAGTGGCTATATCGTAACCAATGAGGTACAACCGAGGTGCGATTATTGCTAGTTGAAAACTAATGAGCTAATGCCATACAGCAGCGCTCTTTAATATATTTTCAGGTTAAAGCAGAATGATGTGCAACCAAGTGGTATGAAAGCTACAAAGACTCCTCCCATTATGAGTAGTTTGCTATAAAGTAGCGACACTGGCTCTTTTCCTTTTGCGTACACGGCGAATGAGAACGACCCAAATTTGAGTTTAGTTCACTAGTTCACATGTAATCAAACTGAAAGCAGAGGTACAAATTATTTTGATCAACTTTGAATCGCCACGGCCGGATAAGTTCGATGGAAGAAGCAACAATCTAGCATCTAATTCGACGAAGACGGCAGAAAACATTTGTGAAGCCGAGTTATTTACGAAAGAGAGTGTCGATGAAGAGATTCGATGAATGTTGATAGGACCTTTAGCATATAGGAGTTTAGTTATCTCAGAAATAAGAAAAAAAGTGCAGGAACTCAGCGATGTCTTCTCTGTCACTCAATAAATTCTAGGGCTTTGAAATCATAAGATGTATCGATCATAAAAAATGGTAGAATTCGATTTATCAAAGTATCTCGAAAGATCAATAAATCGTTTTGAATACATTAAGTGGCTCATAGAGTTGAATTTTTCCTATAGCTTTAGAAAACACTTTCTGTAATTTGGCTTTCATTTTTCCCACAAATAACCACAGAAAATTTACAGTTGGCCATTGGAATATCAACAACCGGGAAATTTTTAAGATTTGAACCGGGAAAACCGGGAAAAACCGGGAATTTCAAAATGAAAAGTCACTGGCCACCCTGTAATAGATTATCACACTAAAGCTTCATGTTAGCATTTCCAACCAACCCTGAAAATCGCTAACTTCGCGTATGAAGTAACATCAAAACACTTCGAATGTGATTAACAAGGTTTTATACCGCAAGCATACCAAAATAAAGTATCAACCCTAATTAAGACATTCATATGTTATCAGTGAGTTATCAGTTCTTGCTCGGGTACTTGTCAGAATCTATTATAATGCAAATGAGTATTAAGCCGTTTTAAAAAATAACGCTTCCATTTTCAAATGTCGTGACCATTTTTAACAACGCGGCTGTAAAACACTCGTTAAGCAGCGATATATGGCAATTCTGATTACCAATTAGAAAACTATGATTGTACCATACTGCACAACAATCTAATCATAAGCTGCAATACAATAAAAACAATTCCGAATATCGTAAATCACACGGTAAACTATTCGCTGGGCAACAACTTTCGGCACCTGATTAGCGCCAAGGTCGGACTAATAAATCCCAACTTGTGTATCGCCTTCACGGCGGAGGACGGGGTCGCAAGGCTGCCACTCAACTTTATACTTTATTGAGTGCGAATTGCGCCGTCAGCGTTAAAGGTAACACCACCAACCATGCACCGCGATATCCTAAGCAAGACATAACTTGATTGCTCAATAAAAAACGGACAAACCACCTCGGTGGCGGTGTGGCTATCGTGTATCGTATCTGTAAGCAAAACATGCTAATAGTACAAATTGTACACGCACATGGTGCGATCGCGGGCACAAACATGCAAGCCAACGCTGCGAATCACTCAACATAAATCAACAACACTCACCGTTCGTCCTAATGTCCTTCCTCCTACTCCTCCTGCTTCCCGCTGTAATCCGAACGTTCACTCGACACTTCGATTTTCCTCCGGATATACTCCGGAACCGTAATCCAGGCGAGGGGGGGTTCGTCACTTCACTCTCGTTGAAATTTTGCGTTCGCAAAATTGCACTGAATTAAATTTTCACCTTGCTCCCGGCGGACAATTTCTTCGAAATCAATTTTCAACGCACAATTTCTTCGCAATTGCCAGGAATCTTCGCAGATTTCACTCGCGGTACACTTCCAGAATCTTCTCGACGCTGAAACTTGTCACACACTCTCTCTTTCCGTAGATCTCTCCGCGCTACAAACGCACAGGTGTTGGTTGCTCCGGTTCCCGACCAGAACTAGATTCTTCCCAAAACAACACTGCTGGTGCTGGTGACACCGAACACATTCTCACCCCCGCGCGCACTTTCGCAAATTGATATTCACTCGATCGGCGCTGCTATATTCCGAATCTTACTACCCATTTGATTGACTCCGAGATCCTTCTCTGCGCGCTGCTCCCACGTGAAAATGTTTCGGTGATTGACCGCGCACGTCGAATTTTCCTTGGTCCAACCACCTCCTCCACACGGATAATGTACACTTCGTCCAAGCAGGTTCTCAATCAATCTGTTTAGAAAATATGGAGAAACGAAAAGCGAAAAAAAAAAGAGATCTTATTATAACTTCCCGGACAGCGACAGCGTTTCTAACGTCTATTTGATTTGGACGGAATCGAACAATCAACTGAAGCGACGAAAAATGGTTGTATAATGATCGACTTGATCGTCCGTCGCACCGTCGTCGTTGCAAAATATGGGAACTGGACCTTCCGGACGGCTTCGTGTAAAAATTACACACACGCGGATGACTTGGTAGGTCCGTCCGACCGATCGACCGTGCGTGCGTGTAGTTCGTCGTGGTCGTCGATCCGCCCGTCCATCCATCCGTGCGAATCTTGTCTGTTTTAGTGAGCAAGTGGACAAATATGGGCATATTTACGAGGTTGAACGCGCGCGCGCTCTCGAGCACATTGCCTACCCACACACGCGGTAGCTTTGGAACGGCGCGCTTGCCTGGTTGCTAGAGGTTGGCAAAGTCGAATCCGCGTCCCCTCGGAACGACTTTGAACGGAAGAGTTGGAGCATTTTTTGCGAAGGTGTTCCTGCTACGGCAGATGACTTTTTGGGAGGACGATTGTTGTCCGGTTTTGTTTACATTGAATGAGGTTTGCCGAGCCGATACAGGAGAATTTGAATTGCGTCTTCAATAAAGTTCGCTTTCGATGAAAACGAATTCATTCTCTAAATTTGAACAATGAGGTGTGCCAGATTGTCAACACATATATGAATATTGGTTGCGATGTGTATAAAAGTCTATTGAAATATTTGTTAACAAATTGATTTTTGGGAAGCATTTTATGAAAAAGACAAACCAAGATGGAATCCATCGTTCAGAATCATAAATGCCAAACTGCAATGATCGATTCTCTGAGCCAAAAAGTTGAGCACGTTTCTTCGGGACCTTCTGGTCTTAGAGTTACCTCTATGCTGGTACTCTCTTCGGTCCCAAGCTAATCGATGCACCCCTCGAAACATAGGAAAATCCACGAACCCCTCATTTTATCTGTCAAACTTTCATAGCGAACCAAAACAGTCGCGCACGGAACCCCTTTGTGTTTGTTCTCTGTTTTGTGCGTGCGTTCGCTTTCATAGTTTTCGGCTGCATTTGCCGGATTAGCGCTGGCACTCTGCCTCCCGGACGGTTATACGTGTGTGAGTGGTGGTTTTCTCGCTTTCCGAGAAGTTTTAGAATCGGGAAAGAAAACATGATTCATCATGTTTGCAAAATTGCAAGCATCAGAAGGTTTGGCGCTGCGTGGTTTGATTGTTTCTCCCGGACCAGAAATTTGTGGCATCGCGAGTGAAAATTTTAATTCCAGTTTATGTACGCGCTGCAAGGTGCGTGTAAAGCTTGGCACGATTGGTGTTGATGTTGGTACACTTGCAACTATTTTAGCAAAAAATAAAAAAAATAAATCAAAAGAAATTGATATCGAAAGTGTACCAAAAGTGCTTCTGAACGTGTTTCGCAGTTGGATGTGGTGAAATTCGTGGTTGTTTTCAGTGAAAATTCCGTATCACTAATTTGCTCAATGAGTTCCCTTTTTTACGTTCGACGACATCGGGAATGCGCTCCCGGATATATTGATTTGGTGAGTACGTTCCAGTTGAGGATTGTTCTTGTACATTTCTCGATTGCATTTTCGAGGGGACGTGTCTGCTTTTGTGGGCAGTGCGTTTGATGGTCGGTTTGGTAGTATCCTTTTAAATATAATGTCTAATGTCCAAATAACCTCGATTTTCGGTCTATTGATTCAATACTTTAGTATTATATTTTCAAAACATACAATGATGCATTATGTCATTTAATGGCACATAAAACAAAAAGTGTGTGTATAGGACCCAATAATCTAGGTTATTTGTATTTTGTAAAACATCTTTATTTTTTATTATATTTTTTATTTTATTACATATTTTATATACATTATATATTACATGATTATGTATAAATTCATAATGTAAATTACAATAAATACTGGGACGGGAGGGAGCATCAGGGCATCATTGAAGTTGTAACTGGACAATGGAGTGGAGTGCCAACCGGAGTCTAGGAGGGAATGTGTACTGTCATTTTAGATAGTTACATTTCACTCCAACAGTTGCAATGAATTTGACGCGCTCTTCTTAAACAAATCATCCCGTGGAAAGCTTAACATGCATTGCGAATTTCGTTATTCATTTTGTTGGATCATATTGTTGGAAGGAGATTCTCTTATTCCCGCGGGTTTCGCGTAAGTGCCTCTGCTTACGGGCCCGTCCAACCCTTTTTGGCCCTTCATACAGCAGTATGTTGAATTCAGAATGATGACGGAATTTGATCTTGCTGTTGAGTGGAGCCGCATGCAGGGCAAGACCCAAGCTAGGATGGTGGCTACTTACATACATACATACATACAAACTTTCATAGCGAACCAAAACAAACATAGTGTACACTGAACCAAAACATCCGCAATACTTCGAATGATTATTGCATTGATCGAGCCCTTTAACAATATGCATTCGAATTTCGGATGATTTTCTTATGGTTGAATTCGTCGTCAGATGATGAACATCCATATGACTGTCATTCAAATACAGGATGATTTTCGTTTGAAAATTAGCTATAAAACATACGGCACTCAGAGGACAAACATTTAAGAATAGTGTGACATGCAAGTGCTTTTAATTAGATTTATAATTTGACTATCTACATTTCTATACTGAATAGCCATAATAAGCCATTCCATTATGGATACAAAGTTTTTTCGTGGTGAAGCAAATCTCCACCACGAATTAGCCAAACATTGGTTTTCATCCTTTACCTATGTTCTAAACAACTCTGATAGCGATGCATATGCTTCCACCTCGTTTGTCAGCTCAGATCAGCAAATGATATTCGATAGAATTATTAACATCATCGTTTTGAATGATTTGCGTTATGGGGCTGAACCAATACCATATGCATTTCCATTTAGTATGACAGTCATTCTGCAGAGAGCATTACGCATTTCAACTGAAGGCCCTATCCCTTCTCATAACAATTTTCATCCTGTATTCTAGAGGAAAATCATCTGATTTCAAAACAACCGTCATCCGTTGCAGGTATCATTCGAAAAAGCGATTTCGGTGATTTGTTTTGAATGGTCTGAGGTTTCATTCGATCAGAGGATGATGTTTGTGTACAGTGTAGTGCTAGAATTTCGACTAGAATGGGATACGTTAATCGATTTGCTTGGGACCAATAGGCTAGTCAAGTAGGGAGCCAATTTAAAATCGTTAGTTTCCATCAAGGGGTGAGGCAGGTTTATTCTGAGTTGCTTTTTTGCAGCGAGTAACTCGTGAGTAACTCAATGTACCTCAACATTTCTCTGCCTGCTCCGTTTACTCTTTTCAAACATATCCGGAGAACTTTGAGATTAGGGCGTATTAGGCGTGCTTTTGTAAACAAACACGACAATCGCCGATTTCTCGCAAATAAAAGCTCAATCGAAAAAAATAACGGCGCAAACAGGTAGAGAAATGATTCCTCTTTCATTTGGTATGGTTTGTTCGCCAGATTGAGTTTCAATTTACGAGAAATCGGCGATAGAGGTGTTTGTTTACCAAAGCAATTACGCCCAAATATCAAAGTTCTCCGGATATACGTCTCATATTAGACGTCAGTTTTGTTTGTAAATAAAGTAATCCCAAGTGTATTCTCAGCCTTTCGAATAACTGGAATATTATCTAAGAACCTGTGCCGGTGCCTACCAATAACAACCTACACTTTAAGCTGATCAAAAAATCTCTCCAATATTCTTCTAAAGATCTGGAATTCCACCTATGATGCAGCGATCCCCCAGGTAACAATTTGATGCTTAACAAGTGTTGTTCAATCGACTTTAATTTAGTCTTCGTTTGAATAATTGTTGTACATAGACCACGTTAACCTTTGTTCAGCTTTTAAACATCTAAATCTGGTGATTTTAGCTTAACAGTTATATAAATTATAAGCTTTCTAAGGCATTAAATAGCAGTCTTTTCCAACCCTTGTTCAGCCTTCTTGTTTTATTTGAAAAAAAAAACAATGGAAGACCACTTCATATCTTATATATTTTTATGGGACTGCAACAAGATGCTGACTGATTGGATTTACATATTTATATTGTTATTATAAGTTTAAAAATTACCTTGCATTTCGGGATTCGAACCAGCAGTCGCTGATTCACATGCATCAATCATACCTACTGGACCACTTAAGCATATGTGTGGCAGAAGGTATGATCATTAACTTGAAACACGTCAAATTTAAGTTGAATAACAGTAACCGGAAGAGTATTATATAGCAATGCAGAATTGTAAACAACAACTGGTGACAGTAAAACATTTCTCTAATTTTTCCAGTGAAGTGAACACAATTTGGACACAAGTGCGCGATTTTATTTCGATGGTCATGTGAAACCTATTTTAGTGCCATAATTGAGTTATATTTTTGGAATTCTGTCTGAAAATTCAATTTTTTTTCTTTTTAAATCTTTATTTAAGAGATTTTTAGCCATAGGCTAGTTCATCTCTCTGAAAATTCAATGCGATATAGCAATCAAAACACAGAAATACAAATGTTAATACTTCCAGCGTCGTCGCAGCCCACTTCTACCTAGAGCTATTCCTAAAAAGTTCCTCTACATTGTCTCTACTGCTACCGCTGCTTGGGATTAGAAAGGTAGGCAGTGAATTTAGAAGAACTAAAATGCAAGAAATGCAACGAGTGACACTGACTACATTAATCAAAGCAGGCTATCAAAATATTTGTAGTGCATTGCAGGTTTGTGGAGTAGTGTTAAGCTAAAATAAGGCTTGTTCAATTTTTAGATCAGCTAACTTATTGAGGTTGAATTATGAGGATACAATTAGCTTTATGCATCTACTATATATTCAGCCTGCTGTTAATCAGCTTTGTACACCCTAAATTAACCAATAATCAGCTTCTGTTCTTACTGTTCAGCTTGAATTGTTACATAACAGAAGTCCCATTGGAAAAGGCATCAC